AATTGCGACATTCAGGATGAATCATTTTTTACTATCTAACATTATCGTCTCTTTAGCGCGTATCTGAAAATATCACGACAGCACTAAACCAACCGACGAGTTGAAGCTAAAAGAGTATCGGCACGAGTTGCAGAGTAAACCGACTATGCGTAAACAATGACACACTTTCTCGACACTCCGTCGCTATCGCCATACTCATTCGCGTTGCATGTTAGTAGAACGATCATTCGAATACAATTTTATTGAAATCTAAAGCTGGTATTCAGAACGCAGTAACAAAAGGCCTCTTTTCAGCTGCTCTTTATTCGCGTATCGAGAAAGCTTCTTTCCTCGCTTCTTTCAAACGGAACGAGCGCATATTTGTATTCTGGAATAAAGAAGGAGGATTACTAAGGAAAGTTTACAAAATACGCAGCTGAAACACAATAATAATTCTATTGCGATTTCAGCGTAATTGATCGTGCATACGAAACTTTGTTTAAGCATTCCGAATAAGGTCTCTCGCCGATGAGAAGAGGAGAGAAAATTATTCTTTTCCGTAAGCTTCTCAGCTGTGCGTAGTCAAAGTTCGAAAAAAGCGCTCGTTACGAAGAGATCGAGGAAAGTGAGGAGGCGAAGGAAACGGAAAGAGAGTTGGCGTAAAACGTAGACGCTGCGAGAGCGCGGCCGAGGAGCGACGAGGGACGTGCGGAAGCGAATGCAGCGTGCGTGCGTGTGCATACGTGTGTGTGCGCAGCGAGAGGAGTCGCGCGAGAAGGCAGCGCGCGCGGAGGTGCAGCGATCGGACGAAAGAGCAACGGGTTCTAGGGTGAGCGGGACGGGACGACGGGTGCGGGGAAAGTGCGATTTAGAGGGGGCGCGGGACAAGTCTCTCTCGCGAATATAGTATGTAGCTCGCGCGAATCCGCGTGGGGGGCTGAAGCGGGCGTGATGGGGGTAGCGCGCCGTTTTTGAAAAATGCGGAAGGCTTTAAGAAGGCTCGCGGTACCCCCTACCACCGAGTACACTACGCGGACAACTAGCGGCCTGGCATAGACAAGCGCTGCGCTTACTATTACAGGAAAATAGTGCGGGTGCGACGCCGTCGTTGCACCGATCGCCGTGCAAATTCGCGCGTCCGCGCGCAAGTCGGACGAGTGAGAAGTGCATTCCTCTTCGGAAATTCCGTCATTTCGGCTCGTTACTTCGAGCGTAATTTTGAATATCGTTTTTTTTTTCTAGGAATATATAATAATAATTAGATTCGAGATGCAAGACAAGAGATGCATGACAAACGGAAAGTGCAATGACCTCTTCTTTCGCTCGTTACATTTACTTCTTTGACGTTGGAATTGCATCTCATTCCCCAATCGATGTTTGCAAATGTAATAATAAATGTTCAGAATGTTGCAAAGTTTTGCAATGCGCATCGATCAATTCCCCGATAATGCAATAAGTGCGATTGAATGTATTGAACAAAATAGTGATGAAGGACCAACGTGGATAGCGTCGTCAATCAGTGACAATATGCGCGTAATGAATACTGTGTATGTGTGCATGTTCATTAAATTCACGATTGATTTCGATTGATCAATAAAATCGCAGTGTTCGAAAGCTTCAAGAAATATCCGACAGTTATGTACGAATGCATGTTTGTAAAATTAAAAAAGTTCTCTTCTTCTCTCCTTTCAGTCGAATACAAAGAGAAATAAATTAGATTAACGCGAATGCGTATTCCGTGAATGCATCCTGCGTACGCTAATCCTCCGAATACATGTGTTTATAAATCCGCGGAATTTGTGTTGCCGGAAACTTTTTTGCTCGCGTTGAAAAACCGCGTGAATTATTTTCGACCGTTCATTCACTGCACAGCTTCCGATCGCTCTCGAGTGCAGTTAATTCCGCAGGGACACGTGTGATCAATGTAAGTTGCGTTGCTCCGTTTCTGCTTCGCTCTGCTCCGGAATACGCTTCAGCCTTGATTCGCGCGATAAATTTTCCTCCATAGCAAAAACGATTAACCGGTCGTATATATTTCTATTTGGATACTTCAGTTTCTTGATCTTTACGAATATCTATTCGGATTCTACAGTACTGAGAACGTTTGTTTAACGTAAATACCGTATAAGTATTCTTTGTTGGTTGCAAATAATTATTTTACAAGACAGACAAGCGAGTTTTATATTAGAGAATTTAATATTTTAATATATTACTTCAATCTTGTATAATGTAATATTTTTCTATTCAAATAGCATACTAATATAGCATTGTCACAATTGCAAGTGGAAGATATTTTTACGCAATACCTCGCGATCGCGCTTGCTACGTCAGAAAACTGGAAATGACTGACCGCAATTTTATTAGAAAGTGCTCGGAAGAAACGACGAATGGCGAAATTAGAGAGGCGGACAAGCTGCGATACTAATGAAACCGTCGCTTGAAAAGAAACGGATTGCCATGCATGGAAAGCTGGCCCGGTTTAATTGCAGAAGTCAAACATCGTATGCAACTTTCACCGACGTCTGTGTTTATGCATTATATGCCCTTTTGCTCCACAGACTTCGGTCGGGGCAGGCGCGAACGGTAGCAAAAAAACGGTATATAATATATTTTAGTGGGCAAAGCTTTCTTGATCACCGCTTGACGCGTGCAATGTAATGCCGTCGTTAAGTTTGCCCAACGAATAGTATTTCTACTTTTGCGATGTTTTAATTTTATTTGAAAATTTATTTGGTTCTAAATTTGGTGACCTTAAAATCTATTAAAAGTATAACGATTATGTGCTTTCGTTTTATTTGCTATTCACCCTTGTCAATAAAATTGATTAACAATAAAAAATTATTTATAACAATTATGAAACTAAAACAATTAACGATTTTGATAAAAATTTAGCTATTTAGTTTTGGTTCGTTTTTTTATGAAGATTCAATTATATTTTCTAAATATTAGACGTATATAATAATAAATCACACATTTTATAGATACAAGTTTTATATCTATTTCTATCTCTCACGTTCGTTCGAGTCAGCGATGCAGTGGAATAATAAAGTTTTCCCGATCTTCGCACATCGATATTTGCATCTGCACGCCACGTCGGCGGATTCGATGGAACAGAAGAATAGAACGAAAACAATTTACGACAAATATGCGTCGACAGATGCAAAACAATTCAGCTAAGCGCCGTTACCGCGATCGCATATGCGCGAAATTAAAATCAGGTCAATCCCACCGTCCTCGACTCGAAACAGACGTACGGTATTTTTGGCTGAGTCATACGCATATACGTAAATAATAATGTGTGCGTAATGCGTGCGTTATGTGTTCGCAGCGTGTGCTCGCCTACACACAGGCGTGTGCGCGCATTCGCTTGCGGCTTATAAAATGCAGTTCGGACAACACGCAGCGCGCCGTCAATTGGTAGGCAAAGTTAATGGATTCCTCTACGTAAGCTTCTCACAGTATGCGTGAATTTATTGGTCACGTGCACACGGCGTGTTGCAATTTGTTTGCGCGGCTGGAAAAGTTTTGCGAGGAAATATTTTGCGTATATAACAAAAGTGGAACAAGAGTCGTGTGTGTGACGAAACATTAGAGAATATTTCAAATACTTGTACGAAACAATTTAACCAAAGCGGCTCCTTCGCGATTATAATTAAATTCCTCGCTATTGTTGACTTCTCTTGAATTTCGTAATGCGGCATTGTGCGGGCAAAATTTCTTAATTTGCATTCGTTGATTTTAAGTTAATTGCGCGTATTGATTTAAACAAAAATTTAAATTAACTTCTGACACGGTGCGCGCGTTACGGTATTTTACAGTTTTGGCCGGAAGAAATCTGCCAGCGAAAGAGTTAAGCGAGACGAATGGACGTAACAGCACGGCGCGATGCATCGCTATTAAATGCAAAGCGGAATAACGGTACGCCTGTAGCCGTAGATTTGGCTCTTCGATCGCTACAACATCTGCTTTGCATATGCGATTGGTTCGGGTAGAAAATTCCGCGATTCGGATCGCGCGCGATCCGATAGTTGCGTTCCGAAAATAATAGCGCAATCATTGCGTAACAATCGTTTGTATTTGACGATATACTTTCTGATCCACCAATTAGATTTGTTTTCAAAAATTCGTAAAATTAACTACTGCGTTTTCAGAACATAATCACTGACAATCGAACAGCACGGAGTTATATAGAGCACTTTTGCGCCTCTGTCAGTGTAATCTGGGACAAGTTCTGTAAATGTTTATCGCAACTCTTATTACAGCACAGCTTCAAGATTTAAACCAAGGCCGATGGTATTTGCGTGGTTAGCGTGTTATGTAAGCTAATCGAGCATGCATATGAGGATTAAACGAGCCCGTATCGATTGCATTAAAGTTCATAACGTATCTTCATCTAGCTATCTCGTAATTCCCTTCCGCGTTGAGTCATCTCTCTTCATTCGCATTTTGCACAAAATTCTGTTCTATTTAAAATCAACTTTTCGCAACAATTTTATAAGTCACGCAGATCGCGATGTGGTTAATACATTACTCAACACAATTATTTAGTTATCTCATTAATAAAAAAAAGTTTATATATTTTTTTAACAACCTGTTAAATTCTGTATCATGTGCGAGTTAATTTTTTATTAGAAAAAATATCGCATCACATAATTTTATGTTTCTATGCAAATTATATATTGCGCAATACTTAGATAACAATTAGGATTATCGAAACTATTTTTGATTTCTGAGAATAAATGCGTAAAATAGAAAAAAATTAAACAGTTTTGAGTACAAAAGGCTTATCATTTTTATTAAACTCCAATAGAAAAATGATATAAAACAATTTTAATAAAAAGAGAGATTTATATTTTAAAAAATTCTAAAAACAGTGCTGGAAGCTAAAAATATTTTTTAAAAATAATTGCCGTTCAAAATTAAACAAAACGGTGAGCGTTGCTATATATTCATACCACACCTTTACGTTTTTATAAAATTGAGCGCGCGAATGCAAGATTATCGGAGAGTTTGTAACTTACGTCCTGTGCGGAGAGAACCCTCGTAGCAGCTTCAACGGGAACACTTCCGGAATGTGGATGATGATGCTGCGATTCGACTGCATTATCGCGGTTGTGCTTGCACCAACCGTATAAACCGGTGTGTCTGCTGCCTATGCCTTCTCGATATCTTCGCCATACACGTCTGAAACGCGCGAACGGTACGCGTATTAGAAAAATATACTTATTGACTGCATACATTTCGAAAAATTAATTAGTCAGCGCTTTAAATAACGCTTCGGATGATTCGTATTCTTTTCGCAATAAGCAAAATTAACGTACCTGGCGCCTAAAGCGATTACAAAGGTGACCATCAGCGGTAATAACGTTGTTATTGACGCGAGTATAACTGTTTGTATGTCTGAAAAGCTGGGAAGGATACCTGAAATATAATAAGCATACAATACTAGAAGCAAAAGCACGATAATAACTTGAATTGTCTTACTACTTGACGCGGCAGCAGCTGCGTAATTTTGTTTTCGTAGAATTATTCCAACAAGCTTACGCACGCACGATATTTTAGTAGAAATCAAATCTTTTAAGATTCTTAATATCTATAAATAAAGAAAGTTAAAAGTGCTTGGAAATTTATAAATTTTTCAAATTTAAAATAGAAAGTATTATTAGTCTCCGTCATATTCTTGAAGATTAATTTTTATCACAAAAAGATTGACTCTAAATTTATTTGAAAAAATTATCCTGTTAACTTTTTTCAATATTTATCCTTATTTATTTTATGTATATTCTTGAAAGTTAATATTTTTCCAATTAAATATTCCATCAATTTTTTTCTTAAAAATATCAGCTACAAAATCTTGTGAGAAATTATCTTTACTTTTAACTTTTTCCAATCTTGTAGCTTTTCAACTTTTTAACTTTTTTAACTTTTCCCATTCCGATCAAATAACACTTTTCAACTTTATCTAAATGATTAATTTCGAAAAGCATTGCTTTAAAATACATAAATAAGTAAAATACGAGCTCTTCGCAGCTATTTTAAAGAGATATTATTCTTATATGTGATAATCTTTATCGAGTATAATATTAATACTTTCTTTTTCGTAATATCGCGCTACTCACTATGATCGAGCTCGTCCTGTTCTACGAGATGATCTGTCACATTGTAGACATGATGGTGCGGTTTGACGGTAGTGACGGCTGCAGGATCGCCCGTCACTATTGTGGACGGATTAGTCGGGATCGTCGTCTCGGCTTTAATTGCGGCCGCGACCACGGTGGAAGGAAGATACGCCATCGACGTGAGATTCAGCTTGCTCGCCGTCGTTTCGGCATAAGTTGTGTGGTTGAGTTGTGTTTCTGCCATTTCATACGTGCTCGACGATACATCACCAGGAGATCTGGTAGGCAAATGAATCCATCGGGATGTCGATCGGGATGTTAAGGGCACAAGTTGAACCAACTGGATAATCTACGGTATATTTGATCTTTTGCTCTGCGATCATCGTGTCTCCGTTTCTCTCTTCCTCTTCTACATCGTTATTACGTCTAATTCTTATGTGCTCGCAATCCTGAATTAATCTGTCGCACAATTCTGCTCTGTTCTCGTTTCGAAGGCATCAACAATCATCGTGTAAGGTACACCAGAAATTGCTCACCGATAGGTCAATATATTGCAGGACGCATAAAAGACTTACATTGTCACACACACGGGTATATATATGTACATATACATGCAATTGCCCACGCACGCCATTTCATTTATGGCGAGCTTTTACGACAGATTAGACATCAGCGCGGTTAAACTATTCGACTTTTACCTCAAACAGCAGCGGATCTGATATCAGATTCCATGTTAGAAACATAGCGAATAAGTACCTGTCTTCTTTACATCGTTAAGTGCAATTCTTGCAACTTCGCCGCTTATCTCGCTTCAGCTGCTACTAACGGTATGTTAAGTAGCGAAACCACATCGAGAAAGTTTGCGGTTGAAATTGTCTTCGACTGTATTTGTTTGATTCTCTTTTCCTTAACGCTCGTCTCGATATTCGCATGGCCGTTTATCATCAATTTTATTCGTACGCGCGGAACTCATTCTTCCCTTTCCGACAGATCCCGATGTCTCACTGCAAACAATATTTTATTTTTAATTAATTAAAATAGATTATTTTTTAAATAACGCTTGCAGCTAATGCATGACGAGAGGTATAATATTTATAACGTATTTTTATTTAACTCGTGTGAATATTAAATAACTGCATACCTCTATAATTACATAAAAAAAATAAGGATATAAATATTCCCGAACTATTTTTATCTCCCCAATTTTTTCAATACAAAGTTATATGATTTTATTTATCGCGAGGCGCAATCCAAGGTATAATTAACAAATTAATTAAAGTTCCAAGAGGATAATCAAATCAAGCCCCGTGACTGAGTAAATGAGTAACGGAACCTTTTAATTAACTTTAAGTCAATTTCAACAAAACTTTAACCTAAGGCTTAATTACGTAGCTGTCTAACATTGACAATTATAAACTCGTGACGTCATAATCGGCCGCTCGTCTTCAACGGAGCTGAGCGCGAATAATCGAATGGAACCATCGTCAAATTGCGCGGCTGAGTGTTCCGCGATAACTCTTGCACGGGTAATTGTGCTTTAAGATTCCGTAGTGCAGTAAGCATCTTATGCCGGGTGTAAACCGGCGATTACGCCGGTCGATGTGTACGCTCTTGAGCGGCGCGCACACACCGCGAAAACCGAGGCGGCAATCTTATGCGCATAGAGAAGCCGCTGTCGCGCGACGAGTATTCTCAATGCACTCGATACGCTATGTAGCGCGCATAATGCCGTCGCATGTGCGATATACATGTACACAGGCCGTGGCCTGTTTGACGAACTCGCGCCTCGCAAAGTGCACCGCCGTGGCGCGCCGCAGCATTCTATGCAACGAGGGCAAGGTAGTATGCAGGGATGAAGTTCAATCTAGCGTTAAGCGTACTCGCTGCGGCACGGTCCGTGACACCTCTCAGGTTATTCTATTCAGAACCGCGCGCGCGCGCGCGCGCACCGGTAATGGAGAGAAAAAAATCCAAGTTATCGTACTCGCGTTGCGACGAAATAATATCTGAACGCATGTAAGTTTTCTAATTTCGAATAAGCATACTGAACTAATGAGAAGGCTTTTCATCGATCGTCCTTGCACTATTTTCACGTCTCATTCAACATCGAATCACTTCGCAAACATATTTTACTTGAAATTTCAATAAAGGGCGAATGGACAGGCGTGTGTATATTACATTTCCACTCCGAATAGGCGTACTAATTGTAAGATAAATGAGGAAGCTTTTTCATCAGTGGCTCCCGCACCATTTTCACCTTTCATTTCGACGTTCGGATAACTTTGCAAATACGCCCTGCCCTCCAACAAAGGAATAAATCGAAAGAAGTGTACGCGAATTGTAATCCTACATCAAATAGACACGCTTAATTGTAAGATAAATGAGAAAGCTTTGCAACGATGATGGCAGTAGCGTATCCTTGCGCCACTTTCATGCCTTATTCAGCGTTAAATGATTTAACAAGTACGTTCTGCTTGAAATTTTGATAAAGGATGAATCGTCCTAGATTTTCGCGGAGAATGCTCCGCCCGCGAATCGTTTGAAATTCTCTGGAATGCCTCGTCTCGCGGCAGCTTACGTCCTAGAAGCGGCGCGTAGCGCGGCGCATCGTCGGATCATAAGTCTTCTTCCGCGGATGACGATCCCATCTTCTGGCAAGGCGGCCGTTTCTTATACGCCTCGCCTGCATCGGTGCAATGTCCGAT